TTTCTTCCTGCCACAGAAATCTTCTGTCGACCTCTTGCAATCTTCACTGTGTTGTTTTTGCACTGACTCTTCTTCCGCTCTCCTCTTTGTGTTGGCAGAAGATCACACTGACCACTGACAAATGTCCAGAAGAGGAGGAGTTCACTGATAGAACCCTCCCTTTGGAAACCAACAACAACTTGATCTCCAGTGCTGAAAAAGCAGGCAATCCTGTTCTGAGTCTGACTGAAGTGACGCAGAGCAATGGAAAAGCCCCAGACTGCCCCATTGATTCTCGAGTGAGAGACCACACAAATAATCAAATTGGTGAGTCTTGAGTTACTTTCATTTTTTTTACCTTGTCATTTTTTCAACCCTGGGCATAGAATATCATCCTGAAATTATTGGCAAGCTGGAAAAGTATTTAGAATTTCTAACAGATGGCCGTGGCCTCTCGACTCTGTACTGTAATCAAGTTGGTTTGTATTGTTATTATTGTCATTATTTTTCTGCATCAGTCAAATCCAAAGACTTAAAAACAGCTAAACTGATCCAGAACTGTTTTCTTAAGGCTGTTGGAAACCAGTCCTGCTTTTCTGAGAGACAGAAGACAAAGCACAGAAAAAACAAGGAAAAGCAGAAGCAGAAAATGCATCTTCTGTTTTCACTGCTGCAGACCAACAAGGATTTCTGTTACCCTAACTAACTCAAAGAACAGGCTTTTGCAAAATGCTAACTCCCTGTGTGGGGTGGGAGAAAGCTGTCTGTAGAGGGACAGTCGAAAGAAATGAACAGCAGAACTCACTACCATTCCCTGCTCCTGTTCCAGTCCTCTCTGTGTTGCTTATGAAGATGCTTTCTTGTCAGAATGGGCTCAAATCACAAAGAAACGTGGGCATGCAAAGCCAAAACTTGTTTGCTAGCCTGTAAAATGCTGGAACGTAGCCCCCATGTTAAGATGGCATAGATTGGAAGAGACCTTAATGCCCACCCAGCCCCAACCCCTGCTGTGGGCTGGTTGCCACCCAGGGCAGCTCTTTCTCTAACTTAGATTTAAACCACTGTGTTAGTTTTCTGAATTAGGTACTTACTTCGTGACAGTGCAAAGCAGGGGAGGAAGGAGGCCTGTCTTCTGCAGAAGAGGTTAACCAGGATCCCAGAAGGCACTCATGGGGCCTGTGGAAGGTACTTAGGTTGTAGATAAGCTTGCCGTGGGCTTTGGCTGTGCTTGATGATAAGAAGGAAGGTGGAAGCTCTCGGTAGTTCTCATTCCAAGCTGCCAAAAGAGCAACACCCTTTGGTTAGTTGTTGGGAAATAGCTTTTCAACTGTCCCTGTGAGAGGTTTGATCTGCATGTGTCTGACTAAAAAACGGAGAAAATAAAAACTGAATACCAAGTCAGAGTTTTGCACGACAGAGCCGTCTCCAAGAACAGCAGTACTGTTGCCCGTGCTCAGCATTACTTCTCTTTTTTTTCCTTTCTCAGGAAAAATATTCATCATGAACGCCGATACTGTTATTGTGGGGTCTTCAAAAACGCCTGGTATCAAAAACTGTACTGCTAGGGGATGTGAAAGTGATGTTGATATCCAGGAAAAGATAGAAGAGGAGCTGCCAGTGCACTATCCAGAGCAGGAGACAGAGGTCTTTCCAGGGAACGATGTCATGATTCCTGTGGAAGAGGAAGGAAAGGAATTCCATCACCCCACCACAGCCACTGAAAAGTGATGGCCAGCTGAGAAGGTGTGTGAAGCTATGAAAACATCCAGTGTGACACTAAGCCTGAACCTACACTGAGGGAGGTGAACCCAGAGTTTCTTACACAACCTGAAAACTAAAGCGCCAAAAACATTCAACTTATTTCATCCAACCAACGAGAGGATCATCCAAACCACTGGTTGACATCAAATACTTCCTCTTTTCCTTGCTCTCCCCAGTATCACGCTGGAAACAAACCGGAATCAAAGCTACAGAATTCAGAGGACGTGTGGATGCGAACTCCAGTTTCACAGTTTACTTTCTGTGCATGAAGGGATGGAATTAAAACGGTTATTCCTATTAGCTCTGAAAACTCTGGATGGAATTCTGAGTTAACCTTGAGACCCAGCCATGTTTCACATTTGTTCTCCATTGTACTTTAGGCCAATCCTTCTATTTGTTTTTAAGCCTGATTCACGTTTCTTCAATTCTTGAGGTCCCTTCCCAAGCCATTCTGTGATTATGAAATCATTCCTAAGTGCAGAAAACATCCTCTTCTGATTGAAGTCAGACTGGCTGAACGTTTGGATGTTGAATGAACTATGGGTGAAGGGCAATGCTGACTGCAAAGGGGAAAAGAAGAACTGGGTTTCTACAAAAAACAAAATAATAGACACAGCAATAATTTCCTTGAGTTGTTAATATCTGCTTGTTTTAGAAGAATTGTTTGTGTTCATCACAGTGACACTGATTTGCATGTCTGTTCCTCAGAAATAATTCTGTTTGGTTTTGTGGTCAGCTGCCCCGCGTTACGCAGTTTCAGGTCTTTTAATGCTGCATGTTTGATAACTGTAAATGCTGTGGTGCTGACTGCTTTTGCGCAGGAACACGGAAAATGAACAGGGTGACAAAGTGTGCCTTAAAAAAAAAAAGGAACCACAAAAAGAATTTCTTTGTAGTTTTATCCTGGACAGAGGTCTGTGATAACAGCAGTGCAACTTCAGCATCTTGTCTGAAAGCCAACAAAAGGAATAGAGAAGCACAAAATCACCTCCTCAGGCCAGGCTCACCGTGCAAGTTGCCTAACATTTTATCTCTGTGCTATTTAGGGAGAGCACATAAGTGCAGTTAATATCTGCTCTTGTCATGCCTCCTAATTGTGCAGCATCAGCTGGAACTGGACCGAGAACGTTGAAGTTTGACTCAGCCTTTAGTGTTCTTGTTGCCATTGCTTGGTGTTTTAAATCTCTTTTGAGTTTCCTGGTATAATCTTCCTCCACAACCACCCCATGACAGCAGATTACTGACAGTTACCTCTCACTGTGTAAAGGAGTACTTAGATATTGCCTTTAAGCTGGCTTCTGACTGACTGCAGTGGGTGTCACTAGTTCCTGTGTTACAGAATGTAATGCAATGCTGAGTTGCCTCAATGATTCTTGCCTGTCTCCTCCCCATTCCTATCATTTTGTATTTCTTATCTCAGTCACTTCATTGCCTTGGTCATTTTAGTTGGCCTCATCCTTATCTTCTCTCACCTCACTGTGGACTGCTGGAGATGTGGAGACCTGAACCATACATTTAAGAAGAGGAGATACATATATGTTGTTGTTCATAGAATCATAGAATTGGGTTGAAAAGGACCTCAAAGATCATCTAGTTTCAAATCCCCTGCTGTGGGTAGGGTTACCAACCACCAGACCAGGCTGCCCAGAGTTGTTGTCCTTGCACAGGTGACTTCAGAAGACCATCCAAGACAGGGAAGGATAGGATAAGGGGGAATGGTTCAAAGTCAAAAGAGAGAGGAGATTTAGGTTGGATATTAGGATGAAATTCTTTACTCAGAGGGCAGTGAGGCTCTGGCATTGCAGCCCAGAGATGCCCCATCCCTGGAGGTGGCCAGGGTCATGGATGGGGCCCTGAGCAGCCTGAGTTGGTGGTGGGATCTGAAACTCTGTGATCTTTAAGGTCCCTTCTAAGCTGTGTCATTCTATGATTTTCTAAGTTAAATCATCCTATGATTTTTCTAAGCTTCTGCCTAAAACTGACCAGCACTGATTCCTGTGACCCCACTGCCACCTGTTCTCTATCCTGAAAGATGACTGTTGTGCCGTGCTCTTTCCTTCCTGCTTTTTGAACAGCTCTGACTTTCCTGTCCCGTAATCTTTTGGGAAATCCTTAAACTGCCCTTTCCTAAGCTGACTCTAGGATGACTTAGTTTTATTAATGACCTTTAGGTATGGAGCCTCTTTGGCTTTATGAAAATCTTCATGTATTACACTGGATGTCCTTCATCCATTCAACCTCAGCATATAAGAGAATGTATGTTATGCAGAATTTGTGACTGAAGAAATAAGTCACAAGAAATTGATGCTTTCTTGGGCCCACAGCCCCAGAAATGAAGTGGGAGAATCTCAGCATTATGGGACCTCGTTGTTGACATCCAGCAATGGATGATCTACCTGCACATGGTACGTTTGAGACCTGGTTCTAATTCTAAGCGCTCCTAGTTCCAGTATTTACTTGAATTCTGCTCTTCTCTGCAAGTCCAGAACATAATATAATTCCTAGAAACACCCGCTGTCACTCCATGTAGTCTGTCCTGCAGGAGAGGCAGTGAGTGAGCTGTATGTCCTTCTGTTTGTCCTGGGTTTGTTGCGTTCAGGAATGCTCAGATGGCAATTTCCTGTGGCTGTCAGTGCTGCCACATCAATGGGAGCTATGGGAGGGGAGGAGGAAATGGAATTCATGTGTTTTGGGGGCAGAGGTTGTGCGTACTGAAACAGCAATGGGAGGAGGAACCGAAAACTTCCCGTTAAAGACTGGACGCCATTCCCTCGCTTTCAGCAAGTGTTCATTTTGCCCAGCACGTATCATTCCTTCTAGAACAACACAGCAATGACAGTTTCATGTTAAAGGACAGCAATTTGTTCATCCACAGCCTCAGAATGACTGCGCTCACCTGGCTGTGGCCGCTGAGGGATGCTCAGCAATCAGGCTGTATTTCAGGGGCATAAACGAACCTTTGGGTTTTTTTCCTTATAACAACTTTCTGGATGAGCAATCAGCCTTGCAACCTCCATAACTTCAATCTCGGTGTGATATGAATTAAACACACCTCGGATTTTTACCCTACAGCCGCATTTCTTGTGTCTGCGATGTCCTGTCTCTTCTCCAACAGCTCCATTGCAGCTCCTCGGAGCACCTTGGAAGCCACGCAGCTTTTAACATCCCTCCGTCGGCTCCAACCCCGCGGTCTCTCGCGGGCTGGCAACCCCTCGGTTCAGCCCCGCCGGCAGCGGAGCGGCTCCGGGTTCTGTCACAGAGCCTCAGCTCCGCCCAGCCCTCACCGTGATGGAGCCTCGCTGGGCGCTGCTGGGCGCGCTGCTCCGCGCCGCGGGCGGCCGGGTGAGTGCGGGGGGCGGCCAGGGGGCGGCGGGCGGAGCTCGGAGCGCTTCGGGAGCCTCGGGCAGCGCTTCCAAGCACGGTCCAAGCATGGTCCAAGCTCGCCCCGCTCCCTTTGGCTTTGCAGTTGGTGTTTTCTAGCTTCCCAAAGCCTCGACAAAGGGGCTTGAAAAAAGCTCGTCGTGCTCTGCTGCATCCCTCGCACCATCGCTATGTACATAGCAGAGCCCTTGGTTGTACTTGTAAGAGCTGATGTGATGCAGCTGTGGCTGTTCCATGATTTTACTGAATTCTGTGGTTAAAGGAGTCCTTCAGTTATTTAGACCAAAGAGCTCAGTGGGGTCTTTGATTGGGTTTATGCTATGCTGATACATCACTAACCTTTTTCCATCTGATTTTAAAGTGCATAAGGTAAATGTGGAAAAGAGACCCCAAAACCACAGAATGGTTGGAGTTGGAAGGGATCCTAAAGGCCATCAGGTCCAACCCCTGCACTGAGCAGGGACACCCACAGCTCCATCAGTGCTCACAGCCCCATCCCCTGACCTTGGGTGCCTGCACCTCCTCTCTGGGCACTCTGTGCAGTGCCTCACTGCCGTCACTGAAAAAAATCTTCCTTATATTCAATCTCAATCTCTCTTCTTTTAGTTGGAAGCCGTTTCTCCTTGCCCTGTTGCTCGAAGTCTTCTCAGCACATTGGGTCTTTTTGTGCCATATGTGTCATTTCCATGTTTCTTTCATCACAGCAGTTGAGCCTTTAGGTAAGGCAAAGGCTGAGTTCAGCCCTGGGTTGTATGGTGGTACTATTGGTTCACTAAGTGGCTGCATGGGGCTCTGAGCACTGATGGAGCTGTGGGTGCCACTGTTCCTTCCAGTTAGTTGGACCCCATAGCCTTGAAGGGTGCGTTCCAACTCAAGAGATCCCATAATTCCAAATACCTTGGACACAGTAGGGTAGGATGGGTGTGGGAGTCTTGGAACCATGATAGACCTTCTCACCAGAGAGTGAGCTTGGAGATTTGCCATGCTTCTTGCTGCCTCCCTCAACAGAGGGCTTGCATTCAAAAGGAGCTAACTCTTCTCTCACCCTAAGCATGATGCTCTCACGGTAAAGAGCACAGAGGAAAGCTTCCGTGTCACTTCTTGCATGGCCTTCAGGCTCCTGGCAAACCAAATGCTGCAAATGGCCACTGTACACCAGTTTTTACTCAATTAAAGAGAGAAGATATTTATCTTTGAAGGAGAAAAGCTGGCAGAGCAATAACTCCTGAGTGACACGCTTTTTCTTGTTCCCCCCCCCCCCCCCCCCAATTTATATGGAGGGAGAAGGGCTGTGGGGCACCTGAAGCTTTCTGTTGTGTGTACCTTCCCATAGGATGGGAGAACAATTCCAATCATGGACCTTAATCTTAACCCAACCTTGCAGTGATATGTGAAGAAAAACAACTTTAAAAGATGCTCTGAGTCTCACTAGTAAAGCCTGATGTCCTGGTACAACTCCTGCTGATCTGGGTGAGAATTGCAGTTATTTAAGACGACCTTCCATTGAATTCTTTCTCTAAGTGACCAGTATACATATTTTCAGTAGAATTTTGTGGGTTTTTTATTTTTTTTCCTGTCTTTAGCACATTTGGTGGCTCAGCAAGTGGTATCTCTGTACTCTGAGACTTTTCCATAGCAACAGATGTTTACATCAGTCTTTGGTGACTTCATTGTGGTTTCACATGCGTTAAGAATGTCAGATGCAGTTCCTGTTCAAGCTACTTTGTTTGACAGCATCGGTTTGAAGACTGAAGGAGAAAAGGTGTAGAAACGTGAGTTAGGTTTAAAAAACATGGATCAATCTCTTTGTTTTGGATGACTGCGTTGAGTGGAAGGGAAAGTTATACAAATGGCTGAATATATAAATATATATATCATAAGCTTGTTTTATTTCTAGTATTGAAGTTCTCAAATATAATTACAGATGAAATCCATGGATACAAGCTGTAAGGCAAGAGGTAACAGAAATAACTTCTGCTCTAATTAGCACTCAGCACTTAGGGAATGCTTTTCATTGTCATATGCCATGATTTCTGATCTTGGCCTTCCTCACCTGTGTGTAGAGCCATGTTCTCATCCCCTTTAGTTCTGAAGAAGTCTGAATTCCCATCGTGACTCAGGCTCAGCTCTGGCACAGATATTGGGCTCTTGGTTGCGGCTGAACTCCATATGTAGGCTTTCACTTGTGCTGTTCCACTGCAGGTGCTAACTTGAAAGTCACGAGGCAGTGATGTACTCTGCTAATTTATCTCCCTGTGGGTAGGATAGAGGGAATCTTGGAAGCAATTGTGTAGGCATACTTAGAAGAGTCAGCACTGACCTCTTAGGTGGACGGCGGCTGCTTTTAGTCCTCTCTTCTCAGTGACAAATCTTGTCTCGTGGAAGTCTGTAGTGCAGATGGGAAAGTGATGCAAACAATGCAGCAGTTCTGGAGAGAGGATCTTGAGTAATTTGGATGGCTTTTTGGATGTAACTTCTCAGTTACTGCCTAATACACAGGCATTGCAAAAGTCTCTCCAGTGAGTTGTGCAGTCAAGGGCAAGCCCAGAAGTAACCCCTTGATACTTTGGGCCCTCTCTCATCTTTCTAGTGCTGATATCCCAGCACCAAGATGTGTTGCCTAATCTGACTGATTGGCATTGCAGTGGAGATGCTTACTATCGTTTGTGCCTCTGCTGCTAGATGGATGAAGCGTTTCACCTTCCAATTGCACCTCTCAAATTAAATGAAGTCTTCCAAATCTCATCACCCAGCAGTGGGTTGGATATTAGGAAGAGCTGCTTCTCCAGAAGAGTGGTCAGGTACTGGCATGGGCTGCCCAGGGAGGTGGAAGGGGTCAAGAACTGTGGAGATGTGGCACTAAAGGGACATGGCTTAGTGAGCAATACTGGGGGTGGTTGGACTTGGATGGTCTTGGAGGTCTTTTCCAACCTTAATGATTCGGTGATTGTGAATCACTGAGTCCTTTTGGTTTTCCCATAATGGTCTTTAACGTAATTTGGCAAGAAATTGTGAACTGCACACCACTGAGAGCCACAGCTCAGCAGATAAACTTTAGAGTTGTTATCAGTCAGCAGAAATATCCTTTCAAGCACAAGTTAAGAGGAGCAGATGTGACCCATTGACCAGCAGTTTTTCTTGTGCCTCTAACACTCCGGACAGTAATTGCAGCAGAGAACACAGAGGATGTGATAACAACATTTTTTTGCTGGGAAGCCTCACCAGCAGGATAATCTGTGATGTGGTTTGATGCATTTCCTTCTCTCCTTTTTTTTTTTTTTTTTTTTTTTTTTTTTTTTGTATGTGTTTTCAGTGAAATTTTCCTCTTTAAAAAGGCTCTTCAGTATGTGCATTAATGAAGTGTATCATAGCGACAGCAAAAATGCAACTTTGATCTTTCTTTAATAAGCGAAAGAACATGAAATAGTTTTGATAGCAGAGCTCACATTTGCAAATAGTGTTGTACCTCTATAACTCATTGCCTGTTACCAACTTCAGCATTAACAGTCATCAGCAAACCTAGAAGGTATTGAAAAGCCTAAGTTTTTTGGTTATCTCATTGGTAATGTTGAAGCCAACCTCATGGTTCTGCTTCAAAGTCTTCAATCCTTGTGCCAAAGCCCCTTTATTAACTCAGTTTTCTTCGCTGGAAGCTGCATTTCAAGATGCTGCATTAAAAAATGTTGGGTTCCCATTGAGCAATTGTTGAGAGTGCCAAGTGTTAAGTCTTCTAATGTGAAAACACAATAGATAATCAAACCATGTTTCTTTCAGTAAGGAGGAAGGATATTTTCATTACTGGCCTTCAAAGGGCTTGTTCCTGTTTTGATTTCTCTTTTTCATCGTATTTTTTAAGTACTTCTCTAGGCGTGTAGGTTATACATGGATTTCCTCAACCCAGTTGTGTATGCCTTGAGCAGCTCCTCTCTGCTCAAGCAGGAAACTCCTACACTTCTGCCACCTAACATTTGCTTCTTTTCTCTAGCTCACTGAGTGCCTATTTCCTTTTGCAGAGGAGGCCCTCGGGTATTTTCACATTTGTTCATTGAAGTCATCGAGCAGTGTTGATTGGTGGTGGGGTCACCATCCCTGCAGGTGCTCAACACAGCTGTGGCTCTGAGGGACGTGCCCAGTGGGCATGGTGGGATGGGTTGGGGTTGGACTGGGTGATCTTAGAGCTCTTTTCCAACCTTAGGGATTCTACTGACTTTTCACTGAGCTGTTTTGTAGAAAATGCAGCTCCCTGCAGTGACAAAGGTAAGAATTGAAGTTTTCCTCTGGTATTTTCTCATGCTGAGTCATGAGAAAAAGGTCAATCCTTCACTGACCTTTAAGAGTTTGTCTCTTTGACTACACTGAAGGGCCAGGATGGATTGGTGACTAATGATTTTCCTTTAATTTCTCCTAGAATTATTCACTGCCTTATACACCACAGTCTGCACAATGCAGAGACCCCAGCACTGAATTCTATGAAGAAAGACTTGAGAAATGTTGCAGCAAGTGCCCTCCAGGTAGGTTCTAATTTAAATTATTCTTTTACACAGCCAAATTCAGCCAGCGCTCAGATGACCATACCACATTTTGGTTACTGACACACCTGAAAAGCATCCAGTTTTTGCTGTTATAATTCGCTCTCATCAGGAAGACAATAAAATGCTCAAAAAATATTTTCCAACGGGACACATTGTTAGTCAGAATTGGCATTCTCCTGCAAGTTTAACTTGGCTGGGGCTTATCAGGAGGATTGTGTACTTGTAACCACAGCTTTTGATGGTATTTTGATTGAAGCATTTTTAACTGAACTGTTAAAAAAAAAAAAGAAATGGAACAGTAGTGAAATTACAAAAACTAAACAACGTAGAATTGCAGAATGGCTTGGATTGGAAGGGACCCTTAAAAGGCTGCTTGGTCCAACTGCCTGCAATGAACAGGGGCACTCACAGCTCCATCAGTGCTCAGAGCCGCTCCAGCCTGAGACCCACACGAGAACAAAGCCCACAAACAACAGATAAATTGTAAAGCAGAGCGTGAGGTAGAGCTTAATTTCTGTACTTTGACATGTCACTTACACAAGGGGCTTTCCACTGGGCAGGTCAATCTCTGATTGCTCATTAAGGGAGTTTTGTTGTCTTTTAGCATAAATCAGACGCTGCAGATGTCTATCAGAGAGAGACCAGGTACAAGACTACAAAAACTGCCTGCTCTGAGGCTATGTCTGACACCGCACTGACCATTATTAATGTTCCTTTGTTAGCAAAAGCTGATTGCAGATTGGAGTTTGTGGAGAGTGGTTGTTTATTTATTTATTTTATGGTACAGGTAATGCCCCATGGATACTTTAACAGAGCTTTTGCAAGAAGCTGGCATTGTATGGTTGTGTTAAAGGCAGCAAAAAAAGCCCTGTGTATTTGTCTCGCAACATGCTGAGCAAACAGAATTTGTCTCCATTAGCGTTGAGTTCCTGTCAGAGAGATCCGGAAGTTTAAGCAGGAGATCAGTATGTGCTGAAACAGCCACAGTTGTTTGAATTAACTGAAAACGTCCTGAGAGATCTGTCGAGCATCACTCATGAGAAACACAGTAAGGGAAAGATGATAATTTGTAATTGAAACTTTTTTCTGTTGTGGTTTGTTAAGTCTGTAAGAATACCTCCTCCCCTTAATTTAAACTAAAAGAGGGGAGATTTAGGTTGGATTTTAGGAAGAAATATTTTACTCAGAGGGCAGTGAGGAGCTGGCACTGCTGCCCAGAGCTGTGGGTGCCCCATCCCTGGAGGTGCCCAAGGCCACGGATGGGCCCTGGACAGCCTGAGCTGGTGGGGGGCAGCCTCCCATGGCAGGGATTGGGACTGTATGGTCTTTGCCATTCTAGGATTCTGTGATTCTAAGATTAATTTTATTGTTTTGACTCTGGGCAATGTGTTGTAGGAGAGCCAAAGATCTTTATTTTTGTTGTTATGAATTTGAATTATTATTGTTTTTTAATAATAATGCATCAAAAATTTTAGCCTAAAGTCATTAGCAGGATGGGGGAGGAGGCTTCAAGTAAGTACATGGAAAAACAAACTTGGGAAGCAATTTCCCTGGCTCACCTCCAGGGCCACTTGTTTTGAAGAATGGAGATTTTCCAAGAAGTTCCAAAGACTTTCTTAACGATGCCTCTTCCTGATGACTCTTCAGGATATTTCTGTGCAGGATATGAGACATTGGCTGTTATCTTCTTCTTTTCGTACAAGGGGGAAATGGCGCCTGACTGCTTTTCATTCTTTAAAAAGAATACTTAAGAGCTCATACTGATTGTAACTACTGCACTCAACTCTGTTTCTGAGAGGCATTGGTTTGCCTCTCACCAAAAACCACTTGTTAAAACCTGTCTGTTCACCACACTGTGATCCTGGAGAAGCTGAAATTGAGCAGATCTTGGTATTGCTTGGAGTGCTAGGAGCTGCAGAAACTCATTGCTTTGGTTGTTTTGTTTCTTACAGGTCAACGTAAGGCAGAGAGCTGCACTGGCAGCATGGACACAAAGTGCATCCCTTGTTTACCTGACACCCATACAGCCATCCGGAATCTGTCTCCTCAGTGCTTTGCTTGCTCTCCACCCTGCAGGAAAGGTACTTGTGCATTGTGAAGGAGGTGTTTGCCTTTTACAGCCTGCCCAAAGAGATGGCTTGGTTTAAAGGAGAGCAGTTGGACTAAGTGATCTTGCAGGTCCTTTCCAGCCTTTTTGTTCTATGATTCTATGAAATGTGACTGGGAAAACTCTTAGAGTGTTTGTCTGTCACCTGTATAGTCCTGTTCTTAATGCTTTTGCTGCTTGTTAAATTTTGGAAAAAAATCAGAGCACGGCCTTGGAGGTGTATGTATGGTTATGATACGCTGTGATGCAGCTGCAGATAGAGAGTTTCAAGTGTGACTGGTATAGATGCAAATTTCACCTCTCTAGACAGACGAAACTCTTCTAAAAATGTAGATGTTGGGGCCCGTAGCATATTTGCTTTAAGATGATATTCTAGCCAGAAACTGCAAAATTGTCTTTAGTTTGTGGTGTGTGAGCACGTCTCATATTCACCCAAAACATTGCAGACCACAATTTGAAGTGTTGCAAATGTAATCTTGTTTTATTCTTGTTTTCAAAACAGGATTTGTAGAGCGTCACAGGACAGGACCTGCAGCTGCCCACCCAACAAGTACTGCATTTCAAAGATGTAAAGTGCATAAAAAATGGGGGAAAGGTTACCGAGTCTCCAGAAGAGGTAATTTAATTCTCAGCTCTCAGAACTCACACACACAATGGTTGTATGGTTTGAAGATGGTTATTTGTTGCCTTCATAGTCCGTAAATGTTTCTAAATCTGCCTCCAATTTGGTGAATTATAGGAATGGTGTCTTAATTCCTACAGTTATTTCCAAATCTGCTTCCAACTGAGTAAATTACAGGAACATTCCCTTAATTCCCTACAGCTACGTGTTCATTTGAATGGAAGTGTTGTCACAGCAAGTAGGCAGTACATAGCACAACAGTATTCCCAAGGGGAATGTCCAAGGGAACAGAATATGGGTACGTTTTGTTGACATACCAGAAAGCTCCCCAACACTAACAGAGCTTCCAGCTGAATTTTGGTTTAATTAGGCGATGGTGATTCTCTGCTGCCCTGTAGAATGAGTCTCTGTGTATTAGATGTTGAAATTCACCGCTCTGATAAGCATAGCTGTCTCAAGATGATAAATAATATCCAAAGATGTAGAACGTTGGATATAATTAAGGATAATAATACAGAGCTCCAACAGAGTTCAGTAGGTGATCAGCCTACCAGGGACTAGTGGGAAAAAGCTCCACTGTTGTCTCTAATGCTCCCTTTTTAACATTTTGGTAGGTTTTAACAGTCTGAAAATGGCTGGCTACCAAGAGCACCAAAATAGCACCCGATGAATCTTCTGATCTGTGTTTGGGTGGGGTGTTTCAGATTAACCTCACCCATGACAGACTGTATGTTGTGTACTGCCTCTGTATCAATTTCAGGATCTGCACCGCAGACTTAGATTATTCATTCTTATTTCTCACTAGATGACTAACTGGAGTTTTCTATTTCTTTTAAGGAACAGACAGCACAGACACAGAATGCAAGCCCTGTCCCCCGTAAGATTCAGATGAGGAATCTTATGATACCAGCTGCATACTACATACAGTGTAAGCCACATTCTGACCAATAGCAATCTTGAACTGAATACAGGGTTGCTTTCTTTCCTAACTTCTCTTTTTGTTTCTTGCAGTTGTAAACGAGTGGCTGTTGCAGGAAACGGCATGAATGATGCTGTTTGCCATGACTCAGTTGCCACATTTCTGCCTCACACTGTTATAAACCTCTTCCCCCCAAGCCAAAGCTCAACTTCCAGCAATGGTGAAGTAGTAACACAGCCTGTCATTCTCAACTCCGTGCCTGACATGTCCTACATCACTGGTGAGTTGTTAACTCGTTTAATGTCACTTCTGTCTGGCTGGGAAGCAAGATTATCTTCAGTTGACAGTTTCTTTCCAAAACCAATTACCTGCACCCAAACAGAAGAGCTGAGTTAATTCAGTGACACTGCTTGTGTTGGGTTGCATAATGTCACATCTGTCCTGCCTTGCTGCATTCCACAGTCACTGTAATTCTTTATGTGTTTCTAAGAAGCCTGGAATTAGATGATACAATGCACTTCCTGAGAGTTAGTGCTATAAAAGCTGGAAGAAAAGGTTTATGTGTTAGATGTTTGGCCAAGCCTGACTAACAGCAGCCCAATCTTTATAGCGTTCACAAGTGTGGACGTATTCTCTGCCGTTTGTAGTCTGTCCAAAAGGCAGCTATGTTTAAGAGCATTCTGGACTGCCTGAATTTGTATTTAATGAACTGCTCCTAGCTTAATGAGATACTTTTTATTGCCGTGGTGAAAAGTCTGTCTTCACATTTCAGAACAGGAAAATTCAGTTTTAAGAACCAGTGGAGTCTGAAAACAAGACTTTGGTATGTAACAAGAGAGATATTAAATGTGACCATCAGACCTCCCTGGCACTTTCAAATTTAGCTGTTATAGCCATGGACAGAAAGCTATTGCTTCTCACGCAGTCCATTGTCAGACTGACCTGCTGTATAACTTACCTGCTTCAGTTTTATTTTCAGGATCAGTGACAGGGCCGTTGCTATTGGACCTGATAATTGCTGTTATGGGGTATTGTTTATTCTCCAAAAAAAGAGGTAAGATTCATGGAACAAAACCAAACAGCTCTGGAAGTACTGTCACCTCATTTCCTGCTAATTTGAGCCCAGCAGGTGACCGATTTATGTATCCTAGGAGGCACTGGCTCTCTTTGAAACTTCTGAGTCATGTAGATTCATTGATGACATAAGCATGCACCAACTGAAATTTATAATTAAGTAAATATGCCAGGAACATCGTGTGCCTTTCAAGTGTCTTTATTAAATCACGGAATGAAATGGAGCTCAGGACAGAGATACACTAAGGCAGATGTCCCGCTCAGAGCTCTCATGTTGCTCAGATTTTAAACACATGGTGTACCAGAGGAGTTGGACAACTGTGAAACCGTTGTGCTCCTACTGGAACTTGTTTGTTACATATTTTACACATAATCTAAATATTACACATTATCAAGTACTAATAGTTACGATTAAACAACTGCAGCCATAGTCGTTCATGAGTGAGAGCTTTTCTCAATTACACAAAACTAGAAATAATAGGAATTTATACAGAGGGTCTTCTTAATACTGCAATTTATGGCAGCTTGTAAAGTTAGCAGAGTACAACTTTCAACACTATGCACTAAACATACAGTCGATGTTTATTCTGGGAGCAGAGGCTCCATTAGCTAAAAAAGCAGCTGTTGCAACTGCAACAAATTTTGCTGCTAATGAACCATCTTTCCTGAATTGCAGCCCTTGCATACTCACAACCAGCTGAAGCAATGGATTTGGTGTCACTCACTCCTTTCCTTCAGAAATCATGCAGTTTTATGTAATTGAGAGCATAAGAAAACTGCACAGCAGGACAGTGAGGAAGGAGTGGCCTGGACCTCAAGCTAGAGTGGAAGGTGTAACTCACATAACCTGTCCATTGAGCTCCTTGAATGGCCAATGAGCTAGTATGAATTTTACTTGGTGTACATTTGCATAGCAATGACTATTATCAGTGGTTTCTTTAGATAAGTATTGACCACTTTTTATTAACACTTTTAAAAAAGATTAATTGTTTGCATTGTTTTGTTTCAGCCTTTTTCCTCTACAGAGAAGCAGTGTGACAAAAAAAAAGTAAGAAATGCAGAATTGCAAAGCTCCAGCAGTTCTGAACAGGAGGAACAGCATCTCTTGGAAACTCCTGGCCCAAGCAGCAGCTCCCTGGATAATCCAGCTGGATCTGCAAGAGTCAGTGTAATAAATAACAACGATAGTGATAAGAAAGAAAGTTTCCAACAGCACTGTGCAGCTGCAGAAGGGTGTAAGCTTCACTGTGGAGCCAGGCACAGCTCTGCAAGTTCAGGTAAGAGTGTCAACGAATGCATATCTGAACATTCCAGAACCTCTTGACGTTCATCAGAGAGAGTGCCCAGTTACTTTTGGAAAAAGGTTGTTTTAAATTGTTGGCCTAGAATAGTGAAGAGAGCATGCACAGAGGAGAAAATTATCTGCACGCTTTGGGATGAGAGTGATGGGACAAGGAGATGAAGAAATGAAGTAAGAAATGAACGCTGTCTGAAGCATTCACCACGAGCAGAGACTCGGCTGGGATCCAGAGCTCTGTATTCATTTTTACAGCTTTTTATATCAGGGATGACTTTGGGATTTGAGGGACCCTCCAAAAACTGAAAAAGTTGCAGAATCACTTCCACCAGTTTTCCTAAATCAAGCAAAGGAAGAAGATGTAGAGTATGTAATTGAGCTTTTAAGCCAAAGAACTTGATAAAGAATCCAACATATTGTTCCAGGCTGCTTTCTTCCTTGCTTGATCTGTGTGTTTCTTTCTTATTTGACAGAACTCTCAGGTAATGGAGGAAGGCAGGTGAGTGTGACTTGTGTTGTTAAAATATGTAATCCAGATTATGGCTCCCAGTTTCCAAAATAGACTGGTCCAGCTGGCATGGATTATGGAAGTGCTCAATGTTCTCCAACAGGGGGAGAAGCTCCCATTTCAAAAGAAGAAAACCCCTTGAAAAAAGAAACTGAAATTCAAATATTGGTGGAAGCCAAAGACAATTTACTTCAGGATTTACTTCTGGACACAGAATTCTCCTCTGGGTGTTCAAGATATGGGGATAAAAACTGTTTAAAGGAAATGACAGATTTTATACTGTTTGACTGATAATCAGATCAGCCGTTATGTTCACAACCAAACGTGTTCAGTGTAGCATTTCTACAGATTTGAAATCTCAGAAGAATTTACTTTTTTGAGGTTTTCAATCTCTTCTTTGTCAGCTTTGAGAGTAAATATGAGTTTTGAATTAGTTACTATTTTTTAATGCTTCCCGATCTCAGGTAATGAACTCTCTCTTGAAGGTTGTGTAATCTATAAAAACTGGAAGTGTCCCAGACCTCAGAACCAGAAAATCCTGTTCCATCATTCATTTGTTGCTCAGTGCTGAGATCCATCCACCCACTTCTTATAGAAAATCAGTAGAACAGCATCTACTCTGCGAATGCAGATGAGAATCAGGCTTTTAAAACACATACTTTAAACTTGCGTATAACCTAAGAGGTTTATTAGTACTTCTAGAACTGGGAACTGGCAAATAGGTCTTTCATCCTACTGTGAAGAAATTTATTATAACTTCATGTTAAACTTGAAGGTCATTTGATTTTGTATAATGCCCTTTTCTGCTGTACTGAGTATTTTAATGTCTTACCCAACAACTCCCAGTGCTGGGAGCACATTGGAAGAGCAATGTCAGAGTTTTGAAGAAGTTTAAGATTTTTTTATAGCAGTTAAATTTCTGGGTTTTCAGACTGTGGAGCAGTGTGAGAGAAGGGGAATTCAATTCTTATGTTGAAGTATGAAAAATGTGTTTGTATTTGTTAAGAAAAAGATAAATAGTGTTTTTATACTTAAACCTTTGTCTTCTACCTCCCTACTGAACCAAAATTCTGCTTTTTAGAAGGGCTTGTTTCATTCTATAGGCTAAACCATTGGTTTTAAAGTCAAAATTTTATTTCATAGTACTTAATTAAAAGAGCATTGATCCATGGCCACCTCATCTCCTATTGCCTACCGCCAGGCCCTGTTATCAAGGACACTATAAGCAACCATTACTCTTGGAGTGATGGCTTCAGTGGACAAAGGAAGGGCAACTGATGTTGTCTAGACTTATGCAAGGCTTCTGACATGGTCCCACACCACATACTTATCTCCGACTTGGAGAAGTAAGGATTTAAAGGGTGGACTATTCTGTGGATAAGAAATCGGTTGGATGGTTGCAGCCAGAGGGTTGTGGTCAATGTCTCTCAGTGCAGGTGGAAGCCAGTAATGAGTGGTGTCCCTCAGGGGTCCCTCAGGGGACTGGTGGTCTTTGTTATCTTTATCAGTGACATAGATGATAGGATGCAACAGTTTAGATGACCCTAAACTGATTGCTGCAGTTGACACCATAAAAGGGATCCATCCAAAGAGGTCTGGACAGGCCTGAAAAATGGGCCCAGGAGAACCTAATGATGCTCAACAAGTCCATGTGCAAGGTGTTGCACTTGGGTTGGGGCAGTCCCCCGTCTGTGTACAGACTAGGAGAAGAACTGACTGATAGCAGACCTGCAGAGAAGAACTTGGGAGTTCTGATGGATTCCTGGGCTCCATCAGAAGAGGTGTGGTCAGCAGGGACAGGGAGGTGATTGTCCCTCTCTGCTCTACTCTTGTGAGGCCCCATCTACAGCACTGTGTCCAGGTCTGAAGCCCCCAGTACAAGAAAGACAGGGAGCTGTTGGAGAGGGTCCAGAGGAGCCACAAAGATGATCAGGGGGCTGCAGCACCTCCCCTATGAAGACAGGCTGAGGGAGCTGGGCTTGTTCAGCCTGGAGAAAAGAAGGCTGCGGGGTGACCTCATTGCAGCCTTCAGTACTTAAAGGGAGCCTACAAACAGGAGGGAAGTCAACTCTTGGAAAGGATAGATACAAGGGGACAGGACAAGGGAAGGACAAGGGGAAATGGTATTAAGCTAAGGGAGGGAGGATTTAGGTTGGATGTCAGGGGGAAGTTCTTTACAGAGAATGGAGAGGTGCTGGAACAGCTGCCCAGAGAGGCTGTGGATGCCCCATCCATCCCTGGAGGTGTTCAAGGCCAGGTTGGATGGGGCCCTGGGCAGCCTGGTCTGGTATTAAATGTGGAGGTTGGTGGCCCTGCATGTGGCAGGGGGCTTGGAGATTCAAGATCCTTGAGGTCCCTTCCAACCTGGGCCATTCTGTGATTCTGTTATTCCATGTGTGTGCTTGCAGCTAATTGTGTCCTGGGCCAGGAGGGATGTGGGGCTGTTGTAGCAGGTCCAAAGGAGGGCTGTGAGGATGCTCAGAAGGCTGAAGCACCTCTCCTATGGAGAAAAGTTGGGGGAGCTGGGCTTGTTCAGTCTGGAGAAGGCTCCAAGGAGGCCTACTGCAAGGAGACCTTGCTGTAATTGAGGGGTGATTATAAAGAAGAGGGAGAGCAACTAATAATGATAGGTCAAGCAGGAATGATTTTGAACTGAAAGATGGGAGATTTAGGTTAGATGTTACGAGGAAATTCTCTGTGCTCAGAGGGCAGTAAGGCCTTGGCAGTCCTGTCCAGAGCTGTGGGTGCCCCATTCTAGGAGATGCCCATGGCCACGGATGGGCTCTGGACAGCCTGAGCTGGTGGGGGCACTGAGCCCATGGCAGGAATTGGGGCTGGATGGGCTCCAACCGAAGCCATTCTGTGCTGTGAACCTCCAGCCTGGCCAAACTGAACTTTAATGCTTTGAAGAGCCAACTCGTTTACTGTAAATCGTGCGCTGCTGTAGTTTACACCCCCGCAGCGTGGATGGAGGAGTCAATACTCTTCAGTTCTGTGTAGGTTCAGCGCTGATTCCCGCACAGCCAGGCTGCGGTCTCGTACGTCAGCCTGCAGCAACACAAGGGTGACAGCGCTGCGCCGCGAGCGCAGGAGCAACACTCGGGCACAGCAACCCCGTTTCCTCAACAAACCCTACACCCCGCAACGCTGCCCCTCGGCGTACAGGACCCACAGGACCGCCCCCGGGGCGGCGCAGCACGGAGCAGCCCGGTTCCGCCCCCTAAGAGGCGGGGAAGCTCCCATCGATCGTTCTGCGCTCCGCTCCCGCCCGGCTCCGCTTTTTCCCTTACCCCGCTCGGCCGCGGAGCGCTCGGCCCCGCGCAGCGCTGCGGAAGTGGCGGTGGGCGAGAGCTGAGGTGAGTGGCGGCGGGCGGGGCGGGGCGGAGCGGGACGGCATGGGACGGCAAGGCACGGCGGCTCCGGGCCTCGGCTGCGCTTCCTTCCTGCGTCAGCCCGAGCTGCGCGGCGCAGGCCCGGCTCTCAGGGGCTCCTCCCCACCTCACGCCCCTCTCCGTGCTCCGCCCCGCGGTCCTGGGGCTGCGAGGGGCTCCGGGTTTGCCTCTGGGCTGCCCTCGAGCTTTTCTCCCACGGCTGAGGCCGCCCGGTTCCGCAGCTCTGCCCGCCGCCTGTGGGCAAGGTGACCTTTCGCTTCGCCTCACCCCCAATCCGCTGTGCCAACAGGTTTCGTTATTCCCCTCTTCCCTACGGTCCGTTCCTTTGTACGAAGGGGGAGGAAATGTGTGTGTTTGGGGGGGGGGTGGGCGCTCCGCGCCTCTTCTGTGCGCGTGTGGGCTGGAGCGGAGCGCCCACAGCCCTGTGAGGAGAGCGGCCCCAAAGGGCGCCTTCGTGTGAGCGGCGCCGAGTGACGGCCTGCCTCGTTGTTCTCGTCCTGTGAATGCTCACACTTGGTTTTGAAAAAGCGCAGATATTATAGAGATTAAAAACAAACAAAAGACAAAACCTGAGTCTGAATCTTAAAACTTGACGTTTAGCTCTTGAAGTTGTGACTTTTTATTGACGTAGCTTTAATGTTATGCCAGGCACTGCTGCCCAGAGCTGTGGGTGCCCCATTCCTGGAGGTGCCCATGGCCATGGATGGGTCCTGAGCAGCCTGAGCTGGTGGGGGGCAGCCAGCTTAATGCAGGGTTTGGGGCTGGATGGGCTTTAAGGTCCCTTCCAACCCAAACCTTCATTGGATTCAGTGATCAAACTTTTCTCTGTAGAACACAGTAGAGCCTAGAGCTTTCTGTGGTCTCCTTACCACAAGCTGAAACAAATGATCGCAGAAGAGAATGAAGGGAAATGTTGACGCGTACAGTCAGTGTTGCTTTTCTGATCCTTTTTCTGTGCATTGATGCTGTTATCTATGCTGTTGCTTTGAAGACCAGATCGAGTAACTGCCCCATCCCTGGAGGCATTCAAGGCCAGGCTGGATGTGGCTCTGGGCAGCCTGGTCTGGTGGTTGGCGACCCTGCACACAGCAGGGTTTAGCAGTTGGAACTAGATGATCATTGTGGTCCTTTTCAACCCAGGCTATTCTGTGATTCCAGCTGTTAATAAGCTATTTAACTGGCTTGTATCCAGTTACTTCCCACTCATATACTTTTCCCCAAAAAAAGGTTTGGGTAGGGTGAGTTGTTTTGCATATGTCACTTAAGAATCTTGCAAGAATAGGGTCAAAGACTTTATGGTGTGGTGTGGTGCAAATGCCAAATTGCCTTTCTGCTAGAATGGGAGCTGTGTTTCCAAGTCTCTGTGCTGTGGGTGTTTGCTCCTTTTTACAGTGTCTGGTCTTCTCACAGTAACAGCCTTCTAGTAGAATAATTGCTGAGTCCAGAAAGTTTGTGAAGGAGCATGATACAGAATGGGGGAGAAGAAGCAGTATCAGTGTGATCAGCACTTCACAGAATCATCACAGAATGGCCTGGGTTGAAAAGGAGCACAACGTTCATCCAGTTCCAACCCCCTGCCATGTTCTGCGGGGTCACCAACCAGCAGCCCAGGCTGCCCAGAGCCACATCCAGCCTGGCCTTGAATGCCTGCAAGGATGGGGCATCCACAGCCTCCTTGGGCAGCCTGTTCCAGTGCCTCACCACCCTCTGGGTGAAAAACTTCCTCCTAATATCCAGTCTAAACCTCCCCTGTCTCCTCCCCCTTATATAGGGAAGGAACACTGCCCATTGTGAGAACTGACAGATGTGATTTTATTAGAGAGGGGGGCACAGAGACGCCTGTTTTTGCAGACTAGGCTTCCAAAATCAGTGTACCTGCAACTTGAAGTAAATACAGTGGGCAGTGCAAAATGGCTTCAGATCAAAGTGAAAAGAAGGTTGCTAATTGGCATGGTTGATAATTGCCATGAAACGTGGTACTTTGGTTAGACATAGGATGGAGAGATAAATTTAAATTGCCTATGGAAGTAAACTAATCATTAAAGCTCTATATGAAGCTTTGTGATTTGGGACTTCAAGAATACAGCATAAGGTTGGTTTCTCCCTTTAAAAATGCTTTAATATTTTAGATTGGCTGCAGAGGGAGTTCATGGTAGCAAAGTCTGTGGGCATGGTGAGACTTTATTTCAAACACTCATTTATTTCATTATTATTATTATTATTTTCCTTTCAGATTGAGACTGCAGTTATGGAACAGAGAACCAGAAAATGACAGAAAAATGTTAGATGCTCTCTTCTAGGACACAGTCATGTTGGAAGGGTTGGTAGCCTGGGTCCTCAACACCTACTTGGGCAAATATGTCAATAACCTGAACACAGATCAGCTCTCTGTTGCTCTTCTGAAAGGTGAAGTTCTGTTGCGTTTTCTGTAATGTTTTATGCTGTGATTTAAGGAGAGAAGTGTTTTTGTTTCTATTCCATCTCAGAGTTAACACTGTCAGTTAATACTGTGTTTAACATTTTGTATAAATGCCTCTAATAAGGTTTTGTGCCAGCACTTTGCAGTGAATGGTAAATTCTCTTGCATTTCTATCTCTGTTGTTTCTTGTCAACATTGTTAAACCAATTTATACAAGATTTTCACATATATGCTTAGCCTATCTTAATAGCTCACTTGATTTATGTAATGTTTGAATATCA